CCCACTCTCTGCCCGCCCTCCCTTCCTTTCTCTGTAAGAAACTATAGAAAAAATCTCCTCCAGGGAAACCCACCCAGGATGGACCCGAGGTCAACACGGCGCCTGAGACCCAGTGAGTCCCTCCAGCCTCCCTCCCCTGAGAGGCGCCCGGCCGGCTGGCTCAGTGGTTGAGCGTTAGCCTATGGACCAGGAGATCAGGGTTCTGAGAAGGCTAAAAAGGACTAATTCCAATGTAACCCTGATATTAGGGGAGGTGGTGGGGAGCTAGCAATCTGAATCTATGCCAGCAAGCCCAGTGTATATTCTTGATAACCTATAATTACGTCACTATCTCTTTCCTAGAAACTGGTGTTGCAGAACCGGTTATCTAAATACAGAGGCTATAAAACTGTGAACAGCACCTTCCCCAGAGCGGGGGAGGGAGGGGTTATTAATGCTGGTGCCAGGCCAGACCATCAGACATGGCCCGGAGAGTCCAAACACCTGGGGGCCTTCTTGGAATGCCTGTGGAATAGGACCAGAAGCATAATCCATATTTGGGGGACAAAGACCCCAGAAAGATATAAAAGAGAAGCCCCCTACATGTTACTTTACTAAGATTTGGAAAGTTGTTCCCTGAGTCCGCCAGCGTAAATAAACAGTGTCACTCCTTTTCTCTAAAAGCGTTGCTTGGTTTTTCTCTGGTCTTCTGCAACAATTCCATTCCTGGTCAGGACACATACCTGGCTTGTGGGCTCGAACCCCAGTGGGGGGCGTGCAGGGGAAACATCATCAATCTTTCTGTAGGCACCTGCAACTCTGGGGGATGAGGAAAGGGGGAGCAAATGGGAAGACAAAACCCCAAGATCCTCTAGGGAGGACCCAGGAACCAGAGAGCGAAGGAGGGACCCTGGGACCCTGGCCTGGGGCTGCAGCTCCTGGAGAGCCAGGCCTGCCCTCCTGGGAGCGGAGGGAGGCGGGCAGGTTGCAGATCAACCTTCCTGGGAACTGAGAATGGTGGGAACACAACCAGGAATTCCCAGAAACCACTGGACCCCTCTTCCTCTAGAGCCAGGGCAGCCTCCGGAGCCACAGAGAGTTTCTGCTCAGAGTCCCTTCCTGGGCGGATGATTTCCAGGGGACACACTGGGGTCCTCTGTGGCTGGGCTGTGTCCCCAGGACAGGACCTGCTCTCCAGGGTCCCCGGGGGCCTGTCCTGGCCTCCACTCCCCCCGCCTTGCACTGGGATCTCCTGAGGTTGGATCAGCTTGGAGTTTGGTAGAGGCGAAAGGGGCCCTGGGGAAGGACTGGGGGGCAGGGCCTGGAGGGATAGGGACCAGAGACCCTGGTGTCTGAAACACGCCCCTCCCTGCCGCCTGGGCCCCCAACCGTACCCCCTCCAGTCCACACACCAGGTTCTCATCATCCTCCCTGGGAGACCCGCCCGGACTGTCCCCAGTACCTGGGCCACCACGGATGCCACACACTGGCTGGGCTGGAGGGAGTCGCGAGGAGCAGCCACTTCCCAAGTCCTGAGCGGGACTCAAGTAGAAATGAAACTGCCTGCTGTGGGGGCGGGGCGCTGCTGGGTTTGGGGAGGAAACCAGGAAATGGCTCTAAGGGTTTGCATGTAGCTGGGCTGGGCCTGGCAGGGCAGGGAGAGATGGGAAGAAGTCATTCCTCTACAGCCACAGGAAAGGGGACAAGTCCTCAGGGGCCTGGGCTCTGGGCCAGCAGGAGCATCTGAGGTCGTCCAGGGGCACAGCCCACAGGCCTGACTGCAGCTCTTCCTGCCGTGGCCTCTGACCAACTCCTCAGGTACCATCAGCTTCTGGGCGGATGTTATTTTATTTTTTGCTATTTTTTAGGTCCCTATTCTCTCATCACTGCTCTGAAGGGGGCGGTGGAAAGTGCTGGTGACCCCCGCCCTCATTCTCCCCCTCAGAGTCGCTCTGCAGGGTCAGACACTGGTCAGCATCCCCACCAGTCAGCACCCAGCTGGGAGCCGGGAGCCACCGCGGGGGCGGCACTTAGAGCAAAAAGACTGCAGGGCCCAGCCCATGTGTCAGGGTTTGAGTATCCACCTACCTAAAAGCCAAGAGCTCCCAGTTCCATTCCTGATCACAGGCCTGGCTTGCAGGGGCAGCCAATGGATGATTGTCTCTCAAAATTGATGTTTCTCTCTCTCCCTTCCTCTCTGAAATCAATAAAAAACATATTTTTTTAAAAAAGACTGTCCGCCCAACCTAGATTTACTCTTTTTTTCAATCCTCACTTGAGGGTGATTTTCCATCAATTTTTTAGAGAGAGTGGAAGGAAGGAGGGAGAAGAGGGGGGAGAGAGAGAAACGTCCACGTGAGAGAGACACATTGACCGAGGTTCATGCCCTTGACCGGGAATCACACCCAAGGCCCTGAGGTCCATAGGCCGATGCTCTGTCCACTGAGCGATCCCC